AAACAGAATGTGGACATTTTTGTTCACATGCTCTATCTTGTAATCTTTGAATTCTTAATCCTGTTCCCTAAACTTGGCCTTCTATATTTGTTATTTCAAAAAGTACCACCATCCATCTCTAATTGGGGGGCTATTTCTTGATTCCTTCCTCCCTCCCTAACTCCCTCCTTCCCTTCCTTCTTTTTCTTCCTTTCCTCATCATCATTATTAAGAAAGGAACTGAAATCCAGAGCAAACCCTGTTAAATCCATTTCTGGGGTCTTATTAATTGTTCACCTGTCATCAAATCTCACTTGGATGATGGCAAGGCCTGATATCCCCCATTCATTACTGCAGTCTTAATGTAGGTTGAATAGCATTGACATTATATTTGTGAACAAAATCTTCTGAAAAGAAGCTGCATCTGGCTGTGAAAGAAAACTCCTGAAAGGTATCTGTGTTTGCAGAGACTGATTGGCTAATTATAATTTCAATATTGTGGAGGGATTGTAATGTTGAAGTCCAGAGGTTAATTACCTTATGTTCTTTTGGACTTCTGAAATAGCCATTCTTTGCCCCCTGTGTCAGAACTAACATCTGGGACAATAGATTAAAACAAAACAAACAAGCAAACAAATAAAAAAAACCCACAGCAAGCAAGCAAGCAATAAGTAATCTTTTGGAATCTATTAACTTAGCAGGCAACTAGCTTCTACCAATCCAAAAGCTAATAAGGGTGCAGTCAGATACCATCTTGAGCCTATGGAAAAGCACATTCATTAATGTACCCCCTTTCTGATGTACCCACCAATGTATTTTAAACTTGATTTAAGACTTTCTCTGCTCTGTAAAACCATGAAAACTTTGTGGAACTGCTTCCACGTTGGGACATGGAACTGGGGGTAACCTGAATCATTGTTCCAGGGACATGGTCACTCATAATGACTCTAGAATAAACCTTTATTCCCTTTAAGATGAAAATTATGGGTTTTGTGTATAAATTTTATATCTGGTTAGCTCATTGCTTTAATTTTTGTTTCTGTGGCACGTTACATCTGAATTTATCACAAGGAGATAAGTTCTTAACTGTATACTACACAGGGCCTGCAACTGCTGGCTCACCCTTGATTAGGCTCCACCCTTTCGATTTCTGAAAGAAAAAAAAAGGCGCGGGGGAGGGGTAGAGCGGTAAGGCCGGTTTATAGTCAACCCGCGTTCCCATAATGCCTTGTTTTCTTTGGAACCAAAGTACTTATTAAAGAGACATCCTGGAACTGACTTGCTAGGTGTTTAGTTCTGTGCCTGCATCCCTGAAGCGATCTCCCAGGAGAAATTCCACAGAAATCCCACGAACAAGTCGTAAACAAGACCCCGCCCAACAAGGGGAAGCTGTGGTCAAAATCTTTTTTCCGGAACTCAGCGCTATTTCCCGCACCCTGGGCGGGGTTGCCTTCTCTGCTTTGCGGTTCTACAGCGCTTGAGACCCGTGTGAAGAAAATGAAGGTTTCTGGGATCTCAAAGCATCTGGGCACTGTGGGACGCCTTGTAGCTTTCTGCCAAGGCAGAGTCCAGCTGGCGGTCCTGCTGCTGTCCTTGGCGCCATCTACTTTAGGTGAGCCACGGGGAGGCGCGGGGAGGCAAGGATGTGCCCTGCAGCGAAACCCGCGGTAAATGGGCGCAGTGCAGACTCCACCGGTGGTCTAGGGTCCCCTGGGGGTGCTCAGTGCTCCTTTCCCGTGGGTGAGTGCAGAGCTCTCAACCCAGATTGTACTCAGCCGGTAGGAACGCTTGGTCTCCCACCTGTTGTCTGTACTGAGTGTAGAGTAAATTGTAGTGAAAAAAAAAAGAGGTGTAGGGGTCCTGGCGTGGGGGCGTAGAGGGGACGTTGTGTAAACCTGCGAGATGCAATTTCTAATCCTAGAATTTGGTTGTGAGGAAAGTAAATATGCCTGTGTTTCCTCATCTGTGAAATGGAAATACTGTTTGTTTTTAAGGCGTTTTTACCCTGTTAGGAAAAGTAAGGAAACAGGACAGAATCCACTAACCAGAGTTTTATTAAGATAAGGGAGAGGGACAGATGTACACAGGCCTGTGGAAAGACATGTGTGTGAAAGGGCCTGGGGATCATGGTGCCAGTTAATAAAGGTTGGGCTGCACCTGAGAACACAGGCCCACTTGGCTGTTCTGCCGATGCACATAGATCTTGTGGTTACGTTGCACACTTTACCCAACCACATAAAGCCACGGTCCTGAGTCACAGGAGATGTTTGACCCGGAAATGACTAGGTGGAAGTGACTAGGTCCCTTGAAGCATGTGCGACCATGCCCATCCTTGGGGGCATGTTATGAATTTATATCACTGAGGTCCTTCATGACATTGCTATTTAATTTGTGTCAAGTGTCTAACTCAAGTTCTGCTGCTTAATATATTTCTATCCTGGAGTCGTTATTCATGCATTTGCTCTGAAGGCCTAGACAAATAGGACTAGGGACTGTGTACTTTATCTTCTACCCCAAAACCTCATCTACTCACTTGAGTTCCCACTTTAAGGAAGATCCTCCCATTCCCAACCTAGGTTAGGATTTGAAGGGTGAAGAACCCCAGGATGCAATGAAATATTTGCAAGTAAAAAAGACTATTGCACTTTAGTGATGGTTAAGCACAAAATAGAGTGTCCATTTTACCCGCTATGGAAGTTCTAAGTTGCCTTCCTTCCTCTTCAGTAAGAACTTTCTTACAGAAAGACTTCCTTGAAGTCTTTTTGCATTGTTTAGACTCAGTGACATTTGAAATGACAGTCCTGTGTTTTTGCTCAACTGGAGGTTTAAGTTTTCCACTAGACTGATTACATATATTAACTGAACCTAATTTTCTGAGAGTAGAGAAAAAACAAAATTTCTGCAAAAAGTTGTGCTTAAATTTTTATCTTCCTAGGCACACATAGTAATGGGTCAGATGAAGATATATGATACAATTTTATTTTTAGAAAAGAAGTATAGCAAGAGCATTGGGAATCTCCTATCAGTGCTTAGGGATCTTTATGGCTTTGTCATCTTCTGGCTGAAATGTTGGGGCAGTTTTGCCATAGTTATAAACAGGCATTATCGTGTGCAAAGGAAACCAAGGTTATTATAGTAACCTTCAACTGTGACTCAAGCCATGGAGTGCTTTAGTCAACAGAGTTGAAATGAAGAGAATACCACTAGAATGCTCCCACTGGCCACAGCATTTTGTAATTTAAACAAAATATGGTGGAGAGCTTCACCTCAAAGGTATGTATACTCATAGAGAAATTGGTTCTGGATTTCCATTCTCTGTTACTTACAACTGAGGACCTTGGACCCAGCAAGTCAGTTAACAAGTATCCACATGTGTGCCTCTGAGAGCATTATCAAAATGTATGAAACAAAAATGGGCAGACTTGTGAACAGCAATAAATAAACCCATCTTAGAGCTGGAAGCTTCAATACCCCTCCACCAGAAATAAACAGATGTATCATGGAAAAAAAACAGTAAGGACACACACAGCAGAACTCAGCAACACCAGTATAACTGGCAAGTTTGGAATCCTCTCACAACAGTAGAATATACCTTTTTCTCAGGCTCATACAGGCCATTCATTGAAATAAACCGCATTCAAGGCGGTAAAATGGCACAGTAGTTAAGTCTTACTAGTATACTGTTGGAGTTGGTAGACTCTGGCATGCCCTAAGGTACTCCTGTAGGATCATTTCTGTTAATTCTGCTGCATGGAGAAGACAAAGGAAGGGAGTTAGAGTCTGTTTCCTGTACTTCATAATGCATCTCAGTTTCTGTATTCTCAGATGTGTAATTTATGGTTTATATTATCTAATGTTAGCCAAAATAACCTCACTTAGAAAAGCAACTTCCAACATGTCTTACACATCAGAAATACTCACTGAAGATGATTATAGTAAGAGTAATTCCAGAAAACAAGATTGCTGCACAGACTACCCCTTTATCTGTCTAAGGATACACACATACCTAAGTTGTATGTAAAAGGCACTCAGAGGAAGAAATGCTGTCAGATAAAAACCAGTAACAACAACAACAATCTAGAAAATATCAAGAATACTAGTTGAGATACAGCTTTATATACACTCCTATTAACAGAATCTGTGATAATATCTTGTCACTCAGTGTTAACTAATGATATTAAATCATTATGTCTATTAAAGTATTTAAAATTCTTATTCTAAGCCAGGTGATGGTGACACACACAATCTCAGTCCTCAAAGGCTGAGATAGGCAGATCTCTCTGAGTTTCAAGCCTCCCTGGTCTGCAGAGTGAGTTCCAGGACAGCCAGGGCTACACAGAGAAACCTCTTGAAAAAAAAACAAGATAATAGTAGTAATAAAATAATAGTAAAAATAATAATAAATAAAATAAAATCTTATTCCATTTGTATGGTATCCTTTTAAATTTTTATGCATACCACATTTCAAAGTTTATTTTTTTTTAATTTTGAGCTCATTATTTTTACTGATAAAATTGCTTAAGCAAAATCTTCAAAGAATCTCTTCACTGAAGAGCAAAGTATGTAGACCAGAGTGTAACTCAGGTTGACAGCTCATCCTCTCCAGCACAGTCATGGAAGTGGTCATGAGTTCACAATCATGATTACTTATGATGAGTCAGCCAATGACTTAAATAGACGATTTGAAAGGAGGTTATGTCATTCAGGGCCAAAAAATACAATAAGATAACAATATACATACATGAGAACCGTTAAAATTAGGAAGGCTCACCATATCAATTGTTAGCGATAAGTAAAGTAGCTAAATTTGTTATGTTCTGTTTACTGGCAGGTAAGACACTACTCTTGGAAAGTGGCTCAGCATTCTATCAAACAATTCCTATCATGTGACTTGGTGTTTTACTCCTTGGTTTTTCCTTAAGAGAAATAGAAATTTGTGCCCAACAGACATCTTCATTAGTTTTTATAGCTGAGTGGTTTTTGTTTTGTTTGTTGTTTTTAGATTTTATTTATTTTTATTTTACCCATATTAGAGTGTATTGGTGTTTGCCTGCATGTATGTCTGTGTACCATGTGCATTCAGTGCCTATAGAGGACAGAAAAAAACATTAGATTTCCTAAGACTGGAGTCACAGAAGAATGTGAGCTGCCATGTGGGTGCTGGAAATTGAACCTGGGTCTTCAGGAAAACCAGAAAGAGCTCTTAACTGCTGAACTATCTCTCCAGCTCCTTCAACACTGCATTATTGGTTGTAGGCAATAAGTGGAAACAACTAAAATGTCCTTCAGTTAAATTTTGACATATTATTTATCTAACTGAATATTTACCAGCCATGAAATACATGTAACCAAGGTGAATCTCAAAGTAATTACACTTTGTAAAGCTAGACCAATGAGAAAACAAAGACTGACATTTGTATGATAATTACATGACATTCTAAGTTAAGTCTTTGTAGTTAGAAAAAGCAGGCTGGAAATACTCAGAGGAAGCAAACAGATGGATTATAAGGACAAAGGAACTTGGAGTATGAGGGAAATGCTTGTCTTTATTTCAGTGAGAGTTTCATCATGCATACATATATATCAAGTCATAATAAATTCATGTACTTTAAATGCTTATCAACTCTGTGCATTATATCTTAATAGATGCATAAAAATAACTTGAATGATGAAAGTTTTGACTTTATGAAGTGCCTGTTAACGTACCTATCATAGAAATAGCCATAGTTTGAGGGATTGGTAACAGGAGGCAAAGGAAACTAGATGACCTTTCTCTGTTGAAGGTTCATATGTACCCTTTCATTTGGTCTTTTTTACAAATTAATAGTTATTATTACATACCGTATTTGTATGTTCAACTTCAATAAGTGTAGATAATTAAAAGAAAGAAACATCTCTCTAAGAATAGTTCCAGTAAATTTCTGTATTGCTTTAGAACTCTTTCCAGCCTCTCCCTGGAAGCTTTGCTATAATGATCAGCTTCTCTTGCCTTTTTATTTGTTTGTTTTTCTTTTAACTGTATGCTACACTTGGGATTGATTCCCTTGCCTGAGATTAATGGAGGAGACAATTATCAGCATTGCATTCATCTTACATGTCAGCTAGAGAAAAGGTGAAAACATAATATTTGAAATCACAGAAACTTTCACTCAGTGGTTTTATTGTTGTTATCACAGAGGTTTTCACGGGAATTATTTTTTTCACTTAGTAGGTTTTTTTATTTGTTTTTCCTCTTATATAGTAGTTCTCAAAGTGATATTAACTTTGAAACTTAAAAATATATGGACTCTAGCCAAGACTCTGCAAATTAGGGCTTTTTGGGATGTAGTCTGTCTGGACTCTTGATGGTACTTATTTTGCAGTATATCATTTATTTGCTCATGGCAGCAAAATACATCTACTGCTTGTAATTGGGTGCTAAGCTCTGGGCCAGGTATTTATTTAGAGGAACAAAAGATATTTGGTCTCTTACCTTCAAATTATCTCTGATAGCTATTGAAAGAAATCCTATCAAAATCATGCATATTTAAATATCACAAATTATAATAATATTGATATAATAGTAAAAAGGATAATGGGTAAAGTAAGAACAGGTGGTTTAATTTTCATATT